TGCTAAGACTAACCTCTATGCCCAGCAGTGTACAATTTTTTTGAGCATGCTTAGGTGTATGGAAATTTTTAGAATGCATTTTTCTTTCCAGTTTAATGTTCTGTTTTGGAACTTTGTGATAAATCTTGAGCCAGTTTAACTAAATGTTGTTAATAGAAATGCAGTCTGTGTTTTAAAAATGTGTATTTGGGTAAATTGAGGGGGTCTTCGAAATTATTACTGCTGAATGGTCAAGGGCTGTTTCCCTTTAAATGACATTAGTGGAACTTGGAAAAGGTAAAATGTAAGGTCTCTGGCCTTTTCCTTTTTTATATAAATTTTTACGTGAAAAATTTAAGGAAAGAATGTTAGAGCTGAAAAGGGAACATTGCTAACATCTATTATTGTGGTTTCCAGCTCTGAAAATTTTTTTAGCCACATAAAATCTTATACAGAAGGGTAAACAAGTGTGTAGAACCTGACTTACTCTGGTCTAAGTAGGAGAGTAAGGCCTTAAGCCATGTGATTCTTCTACACAGTAGAAGACTGAGAAAATACAATGGGAAGGTCATTGATTTTCAAGCTGCATATTTTACAAGTGAGGCCCAGAGAGGTGTGATTTTTCTGGAGGTCAGATTGCATAGGCGTTCTAGGACTGTTTTCATCTTTTCCTGGTGTGTATTCTGCTTATTTTCTCTGTACACTAGCTATTAACTTAGGTTTAACATAACATTCCTTAGGTAAATCTTGATTATCCCGAGGAAATCCTTAAGGGCGAGTTGGCACGGATCATCTACAAAAATTCTATAAGCAAAATTAAAGGTAGGTATCTGGACAATTTATTTATGATATGAAAGAGATGCATCTTATTTGTATGAGGAAGAAGTTTAGCTAATTTTGAAAACTTCTGTTAGAATGTATATGAACTGGTGTCTTACTTCCCTTAGAAGATAATTGAAAATTTCAGTGAGTTTTTATTGGGTACTGAAGTCATGTGGGGAATTCAAATGAAATAGATGATTAATGTCTTTATGAAACTTAGAATAAAATTTAAAGTAGTTACAAATATTCTAAAATATTCATAATGACTTTGCTTATGTTGACTTTGCTTTTAAGTTTTGTTTCAACCTATTTTCCAGTTTAAAAACAAAACAAAAGAACTTAAACTCCAGTTTTGGCCACCTAGTGCCATGAAAGTTGTACTTTAAAAAAAAAAGTTTATTATTACATCATTTTGTGCCTTTTCCCATCTCAGTTGTAATCCCTGTGGGCTTCCCACCCCCAGTTCACCCGTGTGCCATCACCATAGTCCAGTG